AATGGTTTCGTGGAGCCTGGGGAGCAGTGCGATTGCGGATTACCGGAGCACTGTGAAAATGCCTGTTGCAATGCTCAGACCTGCATGTTGCACTCCAAAAATGCCTCGTGTGCTACCGGAGAATGCTGTGACCTGACCACATGTCGACCCAAATTAGCGGGCAGTGCCTGTCGAGAAGCTGAAAACGAGTGTGACTTACCGGAGTACTGCACCGGGGAGTCTGAGTACTGTCCGGCGGATGTCTTCCGGCGGGATACGGAGCCCTGCGACGGCGGTCAAGCCTACTGCTTCCACGGCACCTGTCGATCTCACTCCAATCAGTGTCGAACATTGTGGGGACCCACGGGTGATAACTCGGAGCATTGCTACAACAAGAACACAGAGGGCTCCAGGCTAGGAAATTGCGGCTACAATAGACTGAACAAGACCTTTTTGCGCTGCGAGGAGCAGCATGTCAATTGCGGAATGCTCCACTGCATCCACTTAAACGAACGACTCGAATTCGGCATGGAATCGGCAGCTGTGCTGTCCCATTCCTATATTAGCCACGATCGCAAGATAGTTGCCTGTCGCACTGCCTTGGTGGATCTGGGCTTGCAGACCACCGATCCCGGCCTGACGCCCAATGGAGCGAAATGCGGCGTAGATAAGATGTGTGTTGATCAGCGATGCCTACCGGTGGACACGGTTCGGCAGACGGGCATGGGAAAGCCGTGTCCGGAGGATTGCAATGGCAATGGCATCTGCAACAGTCGCGGCCACTGCCACTGCGATGTAGGATTCGGCGGGGAATCGTGCTCGAAGGCGGGATCTGGAGGTTCCCCGGACAGTGGACCGGCCACAGATCCAAATGGTATGTTTGCGAATTGTCCTCAAATCGGCAGATTTCATATGTTTTTCTATACTTGCAGGTTCTGTAAGCTTCAAGCGATTCCTTTACGTGCTGTTCTTCTTCGTGCTGCCCGTCGTGGGTATCTTCTGGTTCCTCTATCACTGCTACAAGAACGGAATGCTGACGCGCGGAAAGCTGGCGGACAATATGTATGTATCGACCTCTTCCTTCAGCAGCGGCTCGAAAGAGGACACCACTCCCGACAGCAGCCTCTCCACCACAGTAGCATTAAAACAGACCCTTGCACGCTCTGCACCACCTCCACTACCACTCCACACCAATCGCCAGCTTCCTGGTGTTGTAACTAACACGGCTCCGGCCACCATTACTACCATACACGCCGTTCTGCCGCGTCACAAGTCCATTCCAGATGTAATGCATCATTTAAGCGTTCAGCCGCCCTCTGTGCCAAAAAGCCATAGCACCCATGAGGTGCGATCAAAGCCGGCCACCTCGAAACCTATTACTGTCCTGCCTTCCAAGCACTCCAATAACAACAACAACACTAAGTCACTTAACCAGAATGACAAGAGCAACACGAACAACAGCACACCGCGACGCAAGCTGGATATCACGGCTCCGCGGCTGAATGCCACCACAAATCCACTGGCACTCACCGAGGGCGCCCAGTTCATACAGAGCGACCCCGCGAGGTGCGCCAAACACTAAACCACCAATTAACTACAGTGAAAAACGCTTGCTCTGCCACAAAAGTGCTGCATGACTTTGCGCTTGGCCATGGCATTTCAATACCATTGCCGAATTTTTGGGAATATTAATATACCAATTTAAAATATTGCTAAATGCTTAAAAAGGCACCATGTATATAATCCTAGATTCAGAAAAAGCAAACACATAAAGAGTAAATATGTGGTTTAGAGAAAGTACTTAAGAAATCTTTTTGAAATCTGCAATGGTATATTGGCAATTCGGAAAACCGAAGGGACCACTCTTTTCATTTCAACACGATACCCGTGCCACTTTTGTGTTAATGCCACCCATAATCCCTACCACTACTAACATAGTCCATAATTTGAATTTGTTCCTAGTTTTACTTTACCTAACTCTTTATGTACTGAAATAAATGTGTCGCTTTAATTTTTGGTGTTGGCTTGATGTTTGTCTTGCTGTTTGTATGTCTACTTTCCTCAAGCTATGTTTTAGTATCTCTAGCACTGGTGTTTGGTTAATGCACGTTTTTTAATTTGGTATGTTACACAACTGAACTTTAAATGCCTTGATCTCTGAACTTAATTTCCTCACATTAATGCCTATATTTGATTGTCCTTGCAGCTTGAAATCGTCTGGTGGAAGCAAACCCATCGCAACGCGAACCAATCAAAATGGCACAGGTCCACCGCCAAGTAATGGGTTGTTGAAATCCACGCCCAGCAGTACGGATGATATGGACTCGGCACTATTGAAATCACCAAGCGACTCCACACCGTCAGCTGGATTATTTGGCAAATTCGATGGCTTCACTCTGCGACCGCTGAACGATGCCACTTCACCAGCGAGCAACTACAGCGGACCGAATGTGGCCTTTGTGCAGCCCACTGTGCAGCAGGATGGACCACAACGGATGGCACCACCACCGCCAGTAGTAAAGCCAGGAATGGCGCCCATTCATCCTCCATCCCCGAAACCGGAAGCCACTTGGGTGAGGCCAGCGCCTGCCTTGCCACCACCCAATCCTGGGTCAACGGCACGTCCCATAATCTCACCACCCAAACTGGATTCTAGTACATTAACGATGGTGCCACTTAAGGACAGCACAGAGGATCTCTCGCCCAGTCGATCTGCTCCTCCAGTTCCTCTACACGCTGATCCTAAGCTTAATGTTAAACGAGATGGTACCATACGTCGATTTGCTTCGTTTCTGAAAAAGGAGGAGAAGCCGCCACTAAAGGAGAAGACCTACATCGATCGGGAGCGGCTGCGAACCCTGGAAATTTCCGCCCCTATGCCTGTGCCCGCTGCTCCTCAAGCTGAATCGTCCAATTCCGATTCGGAGACCACTCCCCGCGAAGAGGAAACCCAGAATCTGGTAAAACGCGCACAATCCATGCGTTCGCCCACAAAGAAGACTCCACTACAGAGTTTTGGATCCATGCGTTCTCCACCGGGACTGCCACGCCCCAAGAGTGGCCAGGTGAATGGCAATGGCGCATCTAGGCCCAAGTCCCCACCTCCAAGGCCTCCACCAGTGGTGGTCAAGAAAACCAACTCCATCAGCTCATCGAGCTATCAGAGGCCCGTTGCCACTGCCCAGAGATCGGTGGAGAATACCTATGATGACTGCGAATTTGTAGAAAATGAAGTTAGAGCCTCGAACGACGACATTTACTCCGTAATTGATGAGATTCCGCCAGCGGCACAGACCCTCAAGCGGAGCGATTTGGTGGCCAACAGGGCGAGTAATGGCAGCGATATGGGCTTGCTGAATGAAATAGTGAATGAACTGGAGAAGATCAACGGGGATTCCATATACTCAGGAAAGCCCGTTGCTACAGCAGCAGCAGCTGCAGCTCAACCACCCGCAGATCCCCCAAAAAGCCCACAGCGTCCTGCTCCACCCAAGCCGGCGAGCAGTGTGCTGGAGGAAAAGGCAGCTAATGCATCTGCAAGCACATATCACCGCCCGCCGCCAGCCAATGCGCCCGTGGCTCGGGTTAAGCCCACTGTGGCGGACAAATCACAGGTGCAGCCCAGCATGTCCAGCTTCAAGCCGGCGCCGGGCAACGGCGGTCAGTCGCAGCCAGCGCCAGTAGTCCAGCTGGCCAAACGGAGCAGCAGCGGCAGCCTGAGCGGCGTAGCCAATTCCGCCCGCCCCAAATCCTTTATGAAGAGCACAACGAAAACACTGCCCAATGGAACGGCTGGTGCGTCGGCCACAGCGCCATCGGCCACCATTCAGAAGCCCAAACCGCTCTCAGCAAAGCCATCCTTCAGCGGCGGAGGAGCGGGAGGAGTACTGGGAAAGCGGGCCAATGGCGGAGCTGCGCCCACGCCACCCACTGTAAAGTCCAACATTGCATCGCTGACACAGCGATTCGAGCAGAGCAAGTAGACTAAGAAACACAAAGGGAAACACATGAAGGGCTTGACCATGAGCATAGCCTGAAATATTTATTGGAAAGAGAAGGATGAGTGGGTGTAGGTTGATTCATAAGAACTGAAAATCTCATCCTTACCAATTTTAAAAATGTAATTATAGTTCTTGGATAGCTTAGAAATGTTACAGTAAAGTAAAGTTTCTTAATTATTATCGAACCACATAGTGATCACCATTTTATTCAAGGCATCAGGAAAGTGAATTTCTTAGATTTTTCGAAAACATGCCCTTGTGTGAAAGTTAGAAAATATAATAGCCTGTATTCTCCGCCGCTTTGTGATTCTTGACTATGCTCTTGGTCTGTCTAAATCCCCACCCTGCGTGGAATTGACTTAGGTTTTAGTTAAGTTACGATTTAATTTCATTTGGCACTGACTATGACTACGACTGCGTCGTCTTTGATATTCATTCCTTTACCAATGGCCCACTAGTTAGACGTAAGGCGTTGCTTAACTCATGTGCTAAGTATGTATGTATCTCAATGGTTAATGTTTAAGCGCTGCATGTGAAGTTTTATTTTAGCCCCTAACGATAGTTACGTATCTGTATCTGTATCTATACCATACTCTACGGTAATCCCCTGTATTTATGTACATGTATGTTTAAATGCAATATGCTTTTGTAAATAAAAACCAAAGAAGTTAAATTGTCACAACAAATGCGCCGCCTCGAACTAATCAAAGTAAAGAATGTTGTATAGCTGGGGATATTGAAAAGTAATTAAAAAGAGTCATTCAGTAGCGAAATCAGTTAAAATTGTCTCAATGTTGCAAGGAATTCCGTTACACCCCATATGTAAGAACAATTTCAATGTGTATAGAAGCGAAGTTGTGTTAAAATATATGTTCAACTGAATTGAAATGAGAAAATGTGTTTATGGGTGAAGGTTGGACATTTCTAAAAAGTCGAGGTGGTAACCGAAATCTACCAAATTGAATCATTTCATTTCTGTATCAATTTAATGCCCAACCTTTAAATACATGATAATATGGTTTCATCTTTTTGGAACTAGAATATTATACATTTTATTTTAACAAAGTTTCACATGTACTTAAAAAACATATACGTTAAAACTATACTTTGCGCTTGCGCTTTGCCTTGGCAGCTGCCTGAGGAGTGGACGTGGCCTGGGCCTCCATATCGGAAAGCTCCGGTGCGGAGATGACGCCCTTTCCAGCCACCAGTTTCTTGACCGCCTTGACTTTCGGCCTGGGTGTCTTGGACTGAGCAAGAGTTCCAATGGACTTTCGCGGCTTTTTAGCCTTCGCCGCCGATGATTCCGCCTCCGGCTTGATTTTGGACTTGGCTGCCTTCTTTCCCGCTCCCGGGGTCAGTGTCTGGGATGTTTCCAGCACGGCCTGTGCGGCAGCTGTCTTGGATGGTGGCGGCTTATTCTTGGATGCGTCATCGGTCTTCTTATTTTTTCCAGCCTGTGGGTAAATGCCAGATTACTATTAATTTCTTTTTAGTAAGTTATATATTTCATCAAATCTGATATGTTGAGCTTAGTACTCACAAATCGATTTTTTATTATTCTATATATATATTTTATATATATTCTTTGTGTAATATCAATTGAAATCCCCCTAAATGTAGTTTTTTAAATAGCTTCTAGATTGGAATCAACAACATACTTCCTTTGTTTTCCGCTCAGTGGGTTTGCTGGTTTTTTTCTTGTCAGACTTCTTTTCCTTCATCTTCGCTTTGAGCTCTTTCTTCTGAGCCTTCTCCTTTTGAATTTTCTCGGCCTTGGCTTTCTTCTCCTTCTCCTTCTGTTTCCTAGCCTTCATTTTCTCCACAGCCTTGGAGGAGCTCTTCTGCTTATCGGTGAGTTTGAAGGAGCGCTTAACCATCACCACTTCACCGTTGGATTCGGCCAATTTTAGAGCTCGATGGATGAGACGTGCGGTTTTCTTCGGATCTTTCCATTCTTGACCGTTGTCCTTAAGGTATGTCATTATGGCCTGAACCGATGAGCCCGATCGGCTCGCCAGCTTTCCGATGGCCATGAGAGCTAGGGATATGAGCGATCCTTTTGGTTTTGGGACCATCGATTTGGGGTTGTCAGAATCGGGGGGCACCATTTTGGACCCTGCATCGGGCGGCGGAGTGGGATAGGGATTGCGATCAGCTCCCAGATTATCTGATTCGGCCTCATCATCATCCGGCTGATCCTCCTCCTCCATCTCCTCATCATGTTCTTCCGGCTGCTCCTCTTCTTCGCTCATATTGGATTCTACGGACGCAGGATTATCACTTAGCATTTCCTCCTCGCCCTCATCGTCCGAGCTATCATTGCGATTAACCAGCTTTAGATTCATTTTATTAAATGGAAATCAAATTGAACATAAATAAAAACACTCAACAAATGTTAAACACTGTAAAAAAGGTTAACAAAACGGTGCAACTCGCAGTAACAATGATAAAATGCAATGGCTGCTGCGCAACGCCGCTCAAAACGCAGAAAAAACGGGACAAAAAGTTATTTCGGAAAGCTTTTTGAGAGAATTTTGTAAGTTCAGTAGTATTCAAAGAGTTGACACATTTATTTTTCTAGCATTAATTGTTTGAAGTGTTTTAAAAAAATACATTAAAATACATTTTTAAATAAAATAAGTTAAATAAATAAAACAATATCTATGCTTATATTAAAATAAGATATAAGGTAAATCAATAGCAAATAGTTCAGCTTAAATATCGCGCCCATTCGGGAAGCTATCGATTATTCGATGAAGTATCAAGATTCTTCCATCTGGTAACACTGTCGAAGAAGAAGAGGAGGAAATTCTAAAAATGAGCGCAAGGAAGGTAAACAATTTGAATTTGCTGTTTTAAGGACTGATTAATAGGGAAGTAATGCTTAGAAAACCTGGGTGAGATGTGCCTTCAGCGAGATAAACTTGGCCAGTCCGACTCCCTCGGAAACTACGCCCGCCAAGCGCACAAGAAGTGCAAGCAATGTGAGCAGCTCCAGAGTTACACGGTCAAGAACTCCAAGCATAAACTCGACGCCAACACAGATTCCGGACGTGGAATCAGTCGATCTTACGGCCGTGGATGATGACCAGGATGCGGACATCACTGGGCCACCGCCGGAAGTCAAAGAAAACTGGATGGAAAGCTTTGAGCCAGCTACCAGCGATGATTTGGCGGTGCATCCCAAGAAGGTCGGAGAACTACGTGATTGGCTGCGTCACTGCGAAGCGGTGCGCAAGAAGTTCCCGGCTCAAATGTGTCTACTTACCGGACCCACTGGTGCTGGCAAAACCGCCACGTTGCGAGTACTGGCCAAGGAATTCGGGTACCAGCTGCAGGAGTGGATCAATCCCGTCGATTGTGAGGTGGTCAACGCGTTGGGTGATCAAACGAGTGGCACCTCCTATGTGGGCTCCCATCTAGAGGCCTTTAAAAGCTTCCTGCTCCGTGCCTCTCGATACAAATCCCTGCTCGACTCGCAGAATAAGAGGCTGCTTCTTGTCGAGGACTTTCCCAACGTGCTGCTCAGCGATAAGGAGGCCAACTTTGAGGAGTTACTGGAGTAGGTAAAACCGGTTGGCTTCGGAATTGTACACCAACTCTAATCCCGTTAAGCAGCCACAATAATCTAGTGATTTTCTTCAATTTCAGTGAGTACACGGCCTATGGCAAATCTCCCTTGGTGTTCATAGTTGCCGATGCCAAATCTCGGGGCCTAAACATCAGCTATCGCCTCTTTCCAGATCAACTTAAGGCTAAGCATCGCATCGAGCATATCAGCTTCAATGCTATTGCATCTACAATTATGCAAAAGTCTGTAAAAGCCTTCTGTTCCGAAATGCAGCAGCCGCAGAATAAAGCTACTTACAAGGTGCCCTCGACAGCTGTTGTTGACTCAATAGTCGTAGGCGCCCAGGGCGATATAAGAAATGCCCTCATTAATTTACATCTAAGCTCTTTAAAAGGAGTTCCCAGCATGCCGACCAAACAGCTAAATGTCAGTGTGGCCACCAAAGGTAGGAAGAAGAAAATGCAAAGTACTTTAAAATCCATTGGTAGAGACGAATCAATTACTCTGATGCACGCACTCGGGAGGGTACTGAATCCTAAGTGTAAGTCACACGAAATAACCTCTGTTCAAATACATCTAACTCTTGATTCCCATTAGTTAATGAGGACAAAACTATGTTACACAGCCCAGAAGAAATAACCGAAGCGTTTAACTCAGAGCCCAGGAATTTTGTGAACTTCATACATGCCAATTATCTGCCGCATTTTAAGGAAATCGATGATGTCGTGATCGCAACAGATGACTTGGGCCTATCAGATTGCATGCTCAATGAGTATAGAGATGACAATTTGTCGGTGATGGGCTTAAACGTTGCCATACGAGGAGTTATGATGGCCAATAGGTGCCCCGTCAGTGGATGGATGCCAGTTCGAGGACCCAAGCGAATCGATATGAAGCCAAGGGCAACTTTGGCAGAACAAAGACTGGTTGGGGTGGGCTACGCGGGCATTTCCAGGACGCTCTACGCTACGGAGTACAGCTCATTAGTAAAGTTAATAGCTGGCAAGCATGTGGAAACTAGTTCAACCCAAAGCACCGACTCAAATCAAGTCTTTTAGTAGATCCAAACTATTTATCTGATGTTAAAACTGGAGTACGAAACATTTTAAAAAAATGTCCCTAGAAACAAATATGATACTAACAATCTGAAACCTAGTTTATATAAATTAAAATTACTGTGAGCAACACCGAAAAAAATTAAAACCATTATTTATTTGAATTCACTTTCAACTTTTATTTACCTACAAATCGATTTTTCATTATACAAAATTCCATTAAAATCAACGCTTCGAGGCAACATCGCTAAACTATACACCATACAGACCAACAAAAATACAATTGGGAGGCGTCGTATGCAGATAATAAAGTAATGCTAATGCTTTATGATGAATGCTTTTTGATGAGCTAAGTGATGATTGAAATGAACTCCCCACGATTGAGGCTTCCACAGATGACTTAAAAACTAAACAAGGTGTTTGTCCATTTGTCGCCACATTCTACCACAATTGAGTCTTTTATTTACACAGGGCGGAGTGACATGCTCCAGCCTATTTGACAACTGCATCGCCTGGTCTGGGTATATCGCTGGAGTTGTCGTCCTCGTCCATTTGATTTCCGTCTAGCAGGCGCTGGCGCTCCTCCTCGTTGGCATGGCCATTCAGGTGGATTGGTGATCTGGACCTCGATCGGGTACGGCTCCTCTCGTGCCGCTCGGCGTGGCCATTAGCTATGTTCAGACCGGCCACGCCCATTTCGTGACCATCGCTGCTGCTCGAGGAAGTACTGGATGTGGTGCTCGACGTGGTGCTGCTACTATCGCTCTCGCTGTCCTCGCTGGAGGAGTCCATGGGAGTGGGTTGTGGCTGCTGGGGCGGCTGTTGTCTGGCCTGCAGCTCGCACGCGGAGCTGGGCGTGGGCGCCACCGCCGAGGGCGGGGAAGCAGCGGCCGCTGCAGCTGCCGCGGGTCCAGCTGTCGCGGAACACGAGCGCAAGAAGTGGGAGCGCAGAACTAGAATAAGAGGTACGTTATTAATTTGCAAATTCTTGTTTTTCAAATTATAGAGGACATCGCTTACATTGATTCTCCCTCGTCAGCTGGCGAATCTTATCGTCCTGCGCTCGTATCTTGGCTCCAAACTCCTTAGAGATGTTCTGGGCCTTTGAATACCGATCTTCGATCTGCATGCACTCCTGGATGAGCTCCTGTTTGCTCATCGTCTCGAGACGTTCGAGTCGCGCGCGCTCGTAGACATCGGAGAACTCCTTGGAAAGGAAGAGCACCTGGTCTTCGGTCTGGGATCCAAAACAGTTGTCGTCGGAGTCGTCTTTGTGCAGCTCCGACATGTGCTCCTCCATCAGGAAGCGGTTGGTGTTGTACGGAACGAGCAAGGACCGCGAACGAACCAGCTTGGTTCTACTATTCTGTCGTTGATTCCCCTCCAGCGTGGCTCCCGCATTCGTTGGCATATCGAGTTTCCACTGCGGATAATGGTTTTTGGTTTTCTTGGGCAGCATCTTGGATTTCTTTCCCCGGCGATGTTTCCTCTTGGGCATTCCCGCGCCTCCACCTCCTCCACTGCCACCCCCTCCTCCGCCGCCATCCAAAGGTCGCTGTTGGGAACCACTTTCTGAAAGAAGGAAGACGACCAAATTCAAATTAAAACCGCCCAAAAACTCGAAAATGCAACTCTGCCAAATGCAGTCACAGAGGAGAGAAAAAAACAATCCAATAAGACAGTCGCCATTTGTCGCTTGCCTTTTTCAGCGCTCCCCGAGTGCCGATTATTACCATTTTTTACTGCTTCTGCCATGTTGCCAGCACAATAAGTGATTAATTTAGCACTTATTTAACACTTTTAGCGCCAACTGGAAATTTGTTGCCGATTCGTAAGCTTGCGAATTTTATTCTAAGCGACCTAAAACTCGATTGAAGTGTAACCAGCCGCTGGCGTCAGTATCCCACCAAATGTTATCCGCCTAACGCGACCAAAAATACCCTATTTGCTACCACATTGAATAGTAAGGGGCGCCAATTTTAAAATAAATAATGAAATCGGCCTGTTTACCAATTTGTTAACCCACACAGGTTCCCATTTTCTTAGATCTGAACTAGAAGATTTTGTTATTATTTTAGTTTGTATAATCAACATTTTCTTGCTCCAAGACTTCTTTCATTCTATGCTTTGAGACTGCCATGAATCCAATCGATATAGGACGCCACCCTGGTGTAGACATCCGGCCAGTCGGGATTGGGGCAGGGAATGGGTCCAAACGACACCAGCCCACCGAGCAGATAGCCCTCGTTCTTGAACAGCATCAGTGGTCCGCCGCCGTTTCCGTAGCACTCCTGCGAATTGGTCAGGCCACAGAGCTGGGAAGCCTGGATGCGCAACTGCTGGCTGGCGTACTTCCTTTGGCACTCCTCGATGGAACTAATGGTCACATAGCTCTTTCGCATCCTTTGCGAGGATCTAGCCTTCCATCCGGCCACCTCGGTGACCAGGCCCTCCAGCTCGTCCGCTCGCAGCTGCTTGTTGGGCAGGCAAATGGGTTCCACAAAGTCGTTAAGCTGGGCAGGACTTGCCAGCCGGACGAGGGCAATGTCGTTGATCTGCGTCACGTCGGTGCGATTGTACTGGGGATGGGGCAGCAGCTCCTCGATGGCTATGTCCTGGTAGGGCGGCGCGCAATCCGCCACTTTACTGTCCTGATGATACTGACAGTCCGGATTCGTGCTTGTGTCCCATTCGCCCAGACGAACCGCTGTAATCTGCAGATTGCTGGTCGCCGCCTGAGCAACGCAGTGGGCAGCAGTTAGCACATAGCGATCGCTGATAAGCACTCCGCCGCACGCATGGATCTTCTCCTGGTTGCCTGGCAGGGTAAAAGGGCGGGGAATAATATTCTGACCTACATATCACCCAAAACGGCAACTCACCGCGCGTATACTCAATGAGGGCCA